TCTCCCTCTCCTCTCTCTCTCCCTCTCCTCTCTCTCTCCCTCTCCTCTCTCTCTCTCCTCTCCTCTCTCTCCCCCTCTCCCTTTTCCCTCTCCTCTCTCTCCCTCCCTCTCCTCTCTCCCTTTTCCCTCTCCTCTCTTCTCCCTCTCCTCCAACCCATGTCACACGAAAATGCTCAGCAACAATGAACTTCAGGTGTATTTAAAATTGCATTTAAATGAAGTCATGTGCTGCAACACCATCTAGTGGAGTTAGAATAATTTTACTATGCCTATATCCTTCCCACAACCACAAGAAATACATTGACAACATTTTTATCCCAATTGGATAAATGGTACGGCGTATTAAGAATGAACCAGTAAACATTGAATTTTAAATTGTACATAACTATATAGCATGGAAATAGGATGCCCTTTTGTAATAAATCAGTTATGACAAAATTAACTTATTTGTTAAAGATGAGGCAAGGCAACAGTATTCCAATATTGATACATAATTAATTTTTGTTCCTATATACACCACAGTTTCTCTCGTTATCTTTAACAATGTTCTGCTTGACAATTCTTCACAGTACGAGACTCTGGAATAATTTCAGGTGAAAACACATATGTTTATTTATTCTAAATTCTTCTCTGAGAAAATATTTACTATATAACCAGCAAGGGAAATTAAACAAAAAAGAAAGCATGAATTCTCCCCTAAGGTTGAACAGGAGCAAGATCAAATTAATGTAGAAGTCAAGAATAAACTCTTAAATGAGAGTTCTTAATAAATATTGTTAGCTCTGAGTGATTAATGTCATTTATTTCATGTGAAGTAGGAAGTTCACAAAAATATTGAACTAGATAAACTGAGATTGAGTTATGATGTTTGAAATGTACTGTTATGTTCCCATTTTTTTTCTTTTCCTTCTGTAATTTTTGTCTTCAATCTCTATTCCTTCTATTCTATAGTATTTCATGATTTCAGGCTCCAGAAAGGGCTTTGGGAGTGCAATGAAGAAAGAAAAGTCGAGTACTGTCCCTCACCTGCCAACGCATTTTGAAGAGAGTTACGAAAAGGAAGAAGTCTTAATAGATGATGAAAACATTGTGGATCTTACTGCCAGTGATTCAGAAGACTTTAATTCATCCAAAAATTCAGAGGATTCTATATGTAGTGAGAATGTTGAAGTTATTAAGGAAATCTCAACAGCTTCTTCATCGGGTGTGAGTTCTCCGGTCCCCCAGAGCTCAAGTAGTGAGTTGCTCTCTGGATTGGAATGCAGCAGTGTGAGCACATGCACTTCTGGGAACAAGCAGCCATCATCTTCGCATTCAAGCTCTCTTCCTGATTTTGTGTATTCGTCCTCGCATGTAAATACCAGGAAAAGGCATCAGGAAACTTTAAATTATGGAGATGAAACTTCTCAGCCTGAAAACACTAGAGCGTTTTATGAATCACGTGAGTGGAGGACCCAAGGTTCGTCTGATGTTTATAATAGAGAGGGAGTCCCTGGAAGTAGCAGAGAAGCAAAGGTTTTAGAGAGCACACATTCAAATACTCTTCCTCCCAGAAAGAGTATTGCCAGATCTTCTATCATGGGTCTCCCTAAGATCCCATTAATAACAATCACTGAACCCTGTACGCTCCCTGATTTGACACAAGAAAGGTTAGCGGAATATAATTCTCCAAGGGGTGTGCCTAATGAACACAGTTATTTATCCAACCGCATCCAACGGTGGGTTAACAGTGTGTCGCATTTCTCACCATTAGCGACAAGTTCAGAAGACACTTTTTACACATGTGAGGACAATTCTTCTGTTGCCCGAAGACTGAATACAGCTGCATTTGAAAGTGGTTTACATGTCGAGGGGACTGACAATAGCCTAAAGTCGTGTGCTACAGTCTCGGAGTGCTACAAGTATGCAGATGAAGAGAAGGGAGTTGTTCTTTTAGAAGAAAGATGGCTGGCCAATCCTGTTCCGTATGTTTTTATTTATTTATATATTTTTTCAATCTAGTTGAATTTCATTTTAGATTTAGACACGAAAAGTACTGCATAGTATGTAGTTTTGTAATTCCACTTTCTAAAATCTTCTTCAGATGAAACTTTTTGAAAAGCACAATCTCTTAATGCAAATACTTCTAAGTTTGTTTGTTTTTTTTATTTTCCAATTATATTTCTTCTTTCAATCAGAACAGATATAGCTTAAATGTTATGATTTAAAAAATGGGTATAGTTATAAGTATATGGCATATTCAGGTACATGGTAAAGGAGGTGATTGTGTTTTTTTCTAAATGTGATCACAAAATGTTGAAATCTAATATAAAATAAGATTTTTATTCAGATATAAAATAAATTCAGTATCCAGAGCATCATAAACAGAGCATGGAAATTGTTGCATTGAAAAACAAAATTGTTTTGACAAAAACAAATTTTGGTGAAATGCAATTTGGGGGTTAACTGATCTTAATTAACTTCTTTGTGAATTTGTGATTATCTCATGAATTCAATTTTCTGAGTAGTACTTTTAGAGAAATAAAATGTATTGTTTTTATAAATGTATAAATACCTGGAACAAGTAACAGAAAACTTTAACTTCTGAACTTTACAGAAATTAGCTTATTTACTATAAAAAATTAACTTAGTTGCAAGGATTTTTCAGGAATCAGATTTTAAGCTTAAAAAATGTAATGCTGATGTTGAAAGATTATTGAAAAAATACATGGCATACCAAAATGTTTATTCTTTTTAGTGATATTACTCAACAACTATTCATATTTCTTTAAAAAAGTACTCATCATCATCATCATCTACTGCATGGATTGGACATAGTCTAGTCTGTTCTGGAGTCAGTCGGGTTGAGCTGTTCCTTTCCCCTTCTTGATCTGCATGGATCTCTACATCCCGGAGGGTGGTAGCTCAATTGAGCCTCTCCAGTCATTGTGGGTGATCTGGGCTGTCCGGGTGACGCCGCGTCGAAGGCTGAGTTGCCGACGTTTCGACCATCCTGTCGTGGTCTTCCTCAGGGCTGGTATGACCATACCATGACTCATACCAGCCCTGAGGAAGACCACGACAGGATGGTCGAAACGTCGGCAACTCAGCCTTCGACGCGGCGTCACCCGGACAGCCCAGATCACCCACATGACTCTGGCCGCGGAAGCCTACGACTCTCCAGTCATTCTTTGCACCTGAGAAAACCAGGTGTTATTAATGAGTTTAACTCTGATATTGTTCTCTTATTTCTAATTTTTTTTTATCTAATCAGGTGTATCCAGCAATTGATCTTAGAAAGTTCATTTCTGATTCTTGAATTCTTGAAGCTGTTTTTGCTGTAAAGGTTCAAGTTCCAGAGCAGTGGATGATAGTTGGGATAGCCATTTCTTTGTAAAGTTTCATAATGGATTTTGGTCTTCCTTTATTTTTCAACATTCTTTTAAGTGATGCATACACGTTGTTTAAAGATCTAAAATTGAGGGGTTAATTGTATTGCGAGATAATTATCTAATTTCAATGATGGAGGTGTAGGGAAGGTTCAAAAATAATTCAGAACATTAGTCATTTTCAAAATGTTAGCAGTTTTAATGACAATCTGAACTATGCCTAATCTACAAATGCACTTCTTTCCTTTAAAGTAAAAAATTGAAAGAAAAAATTTCCTGATATTTTCCTGAAAATTTTGAAAATGTCCCAAGGGCTTTCCCTAATTACCCCCAAAAATTAAAATATTTTAATGATCTGAATGGCACAACTACATATTATTACTGATATGTGTACAAAGTTTTAGCTTAAAGATTCTAATCTGACTGTTATGCAAGAAAAATTCATCTGTCCGTCCCAATTTTGGGGTACACTAACTATTACGTGTCTTCTCTTATCCTGCACCAATCTTAATCATCTCTGGAATAGCACTAATAGACCTTAATCATGGGTAGAAAGTACAGTTCAAAAGAACCTTAAACATGTATTTTATGACCAAAAATTTGCTCGTATCGCTGAGGTGATTCCAATACTTTTGTGCCTATTACAGTACAGAGAGAAAAAGTGAAAGTACACTAATTAAAAATTATCTCAAGTGCTTTTGCATTGCAAATCATTTTAGTACTAATCTGTTAATGGCTTGCATTTACATTGACTAAATTAGCTCAAGATTCAGTCAATGTACTTTTTAAACAGATTAAGCGATATAGGGGAACCAGTTTTCAAAATTTGAATTTTGTAAAAGAAGATATCGAAGTATATGTTACAATCAAATGCCAGAAACAAAACTGCAACAATTAATGTAGTTTGATGAATAAATGCTTCACTTTTTTTTTTTTTTTAATTAAACTTAATAATTTGGGTCAATGTTTTTTTAATCAAAAACAGTACTCCCAAAGATGGAGGACTTCAACAGTGTACATAATCTTCAAAAAAGGAAGCAGAAAAAGTTGTAACGACTATAAGTAAGATACCAGTGACATCAAAAATATTTGTGAACTTTATAAGTCAAAGACTAGTCAAAATCGAAGAAGAAAAAATTGTGGAAGAACAATGAGGATGTCACAAGGGGAGAAATACAATAGATGTAATATTCACACTCCCACAGATGATAGAAAAAAGGAAAGAACATAACTTACCAACATATATATACTGTTCATTGACTATGAAAAAGCCTATGACAATGTGAATGGTCAGAAGTTATGGGAAATTCTGAAAGAAGAAACAGTACAAGAGCATTTAATCAAAAAAGTATAGTGCCTATACCAAGATTGCAAAATAGTTATTAAAAATGACAAAGGCACAACACAGCAGAGGAAGATCAACAAAGGTCTAAGACAAGGATGCACACCGTCACGACTACTCTTTAACTTTTACTTAAATCACATGACAAAAACATGGAAGGAAAAAACTCAAGCAGGAATAAAGGTAACAAAAACTAGAAATTAGGGACAATATTATTCGCAGATGACCAAGTTATAATAACAAACTCAGAAGACACACTTCAAATAGCAGCCTTCAAGTTATGCAAAATAAGCAAAGAATATCAAATGAAAATATCAAGCCAAAAAACTAAAACACTAGCCATCATTGGCAAAGAACATCTTAGAGCTAAAATAGTAATAGAAAATTCAATAATGAACAAGTTACCAGTTTTAAATATCTTGGAAATTCAGTTGGATTGGGCCAGAAGAAAAAATAGAAAAATATTATAGAAATAAATATTATAAATAGTTATTCAATGGAATAACAAAGAGACATTTTGATTTTATTAGAAAAAAATCAATGATGAGAATCCATAGTATTTCATCAAAACCCATGTGAAGTATGGTTCAGAAATGTTGATAATGGACATAAAGGAAACCAGAAGCATAGGAGTAGCTCAGATAAACTTTCGAAAGGCAGTGTTAGGAGTAACAAGAAGGGACACAATTCAATATGAAACAATTAGAAAAGAAATAAAAACAGGAAATGTAGCAGAAAAAATCAAAAAACTACCAAAGGAAACCAAGAAAACACATGAAAAGAATGAACAAACTAGGTCTTCCATGGATGGCATTAAATTATAGACCGAATGGCAAGAGGTTTAGAGGCAGACCAACAAGATGATGGCACCAACAGTAACACTTCACCACAGGTTTCACACATACCAGTGAGTAGTAAAACAGTATGTTGCACTGCTTTACTACCCACTAACAGAACAGGAGCACCACTCATAAACCAAGAGTGGTGGTGGTGGTGGTGGTAATAATGAAAAAAACATTTCATGGACCCTTTAATTTTTCATTGGGCTTTCAAAGCATGTACAGTGAAACTCTGTGATTGACTGAACTGGTTTTCTGACATAAAATAAATCATTGTCTTGACTCATCAAATTGGAGATCAACTTAATTTTGTAATCAATTGCAATGGATTCCACAACCTCGAAGTACGGTCTTGATATTGAAATATTCTAAAATCTTAATGAGGAATTGATAGAAACAGTTGCTAATAAATTTATATTTATTGTAAAATAACATACAAATATCTGTATTCATTATCTGAATATTTGAGTATAAAAAATTAGCTTTGAATTGCAACATAAATATTTTTAAGAAGGATTTATGTCAATAATTTTTCTTACAACTATATCTGAGGACAGACTGGCCCGGAAATGTATTATGTTTAAAGTTCATTTTTAGTACTCGTGAACTTCGATTTTTAGTACTTGTAATACTGTGTGAACTTGCATTGCACACGTAAAAATTTGTTATAAAAATATCTACATTTTGACATCCAAGTAAAGTTTAGTAAGAGTATAAAGATAAAATAATTTAACCATATTTTATTGGTAGGAAATTATGGTGAAAATAATGGATGTGCCAAAACAATGAAATAAAAATAAAAATGTGTGATGTCAAGTCTGTGGTTATGGATAAAGACTTTAATGTTGGGATTGAAATTTTGTTGTGGATGTTTTAGACTTTCTGACCTGACACAAACCGACCAGTCCACTTCAAGTACAGCAGTTTTGCATACCGACACAGGTAAGTTTAATCTTCATTGGTATTTTCTTTGTTTGCATCAGCTATTTTATTAGTGTACTACAGGGTCAATATGGTAGTTGCTTCCAAAATATACTGTATGGGACACTTATGAGGAGTTGTTTCAGGAAGTAACTCTCCAAATGTAGTTGCTGCATTGTGACCTCCCCAAACATTGGGTTTTTCAACTTCCTAAAAATTATTTGATCCCAGAAAGTCTATTCAAAACTCTCACTAGGAATTGTGTGTTTCTTGTTACATGTGGAGGAATCAGAAAACTAGAGCAGATAACAAATAATTACTTTCCTTTAACTGCCTGAGGTACTTCACTGTACTGGCAATCAGTACCTCGTGACAGGAATCATTTGAAACGTGAGATGAGGCGAAAGTTTGTTTTTCATAAGGATTAACCACTCTTTCATTTCTCTTAATGCCCACTTATGTTACTATTACACCATTGTACCCAATTTATATTGGCTTTTTTTCTTTCTTTTTTCATTTCTGTTTAGTGTTTACAACTTCAATGTTGTGCAGTGTTTCCTAAAAGTAATTAAATTTTTCTGATGATAGGAAATGGAACACTATATAAATTGGTATGACATTTTTATCAATTGAAGTTGTCAATTGATCTCATCATAACCAAACAGTGGATTTCAATGCAAATACTCTCCTTCTCTCTCACCCCCCCC